AGGTTGGCCAGAAGGTGGTTCCATTGAAAAAGGGGTTTTTAATATGGATGAAATTAAGAGAGCAATTACCGAATTTATAATTATTGATGAACAACCGTTTAGGGCTGTTGAGGGAGAAGGATTCAAAAAATTAATGGCTAAAGCCTTTCCAAATTTTGAAGTACCTTCTCGTGTAACTGTTGCTCGACATTGTCTAAGGATTTATCAAGAAGAGAAAGAAAAGCTTAAGGAGCTTATAAAAAACCAACGTGTTTGTCTTACCAGTGACACATGGACATCAGTCCAAAATTATACTTATATGGTTGTCACTGCACATTGGATTGATGATCAATGGAATCTACAAAAGAGAATTCTTAATTTTTTTCAAACATCATATCACAAAGGTGAGACTATTGCCAAGGGGATTGAGGATTGCTTATTAGGTTGGGGCATTGAGAACTTGTTTACAGTGACCTTGGATAATGCAACCGCAAATGATGCTTCCATTAAGAGTTTAAAGGGGCGTATTGAAGATTGGAAAGGTATAATGTTTGAAAATCAGTTTTTACATGTTAGATGTAATGCTCATATTTTAATCTTGATTGTAAAAGAGGGGCTGGATGAACAAATTGAGCCTATTTCTCATATAAGAAGTGCTATAAAATATGTCGGTTCTTCTTCTTCAAGATTTGCTACTTTTAAGTCCGTTGTTGAGAAAGTTAAGATTGACACCCGTGGTCTTGTAAGTCTGGATGTTGAGACTAGATGGAACTCGACATACACAATGTTGGATAAAGCTTTGAAATTTGAAAAAGCTTTTACAAGAATGTATGTGGATGACCAGAATTATCAAAAGCAATGTCGAGAAATAAGTACAACAACAAAAAATCCATCAACAGATGATTGGAAGAATGTGAAAGCTTTTGTGAAGTTTCTTAATATTTTCTATCAGGCAACTTTAAAATTTTCGGGCAGCTTATATTCTACTTCTCACTCTTTCTTTCATGATTTTTTCAATCTCCGAAATGATATTATCAAGTATACTAAACATGATGATCTCATTTTGGTTGATATGGCAACAAGAATGAAATCCAAGATGGATAAATATTGGGGTAAGTTTGAGAGTATGCATATGTTACTGATGGTTGCTGTTGTGTTGGATCCTAGATACAAGATGCAATATGTAGAGTATATTCTTTCTATTGCATATGGCTCTTTGATGGGAAGATTAAAGTCTCAAGATATGAGAGATGTTTTGAATCTCTTATATAATCACTACAATTGCTCTTGCTCTGAAGATCCTAACGAAAATATTGAAAATGATAATTGTGTGATGGGTGAATCTAGTGATTTGTTGCAATCTCAGTGGGAGAAACACATGAATAAAGAGGGATTTGTTGTAAAAAAATCTGATCTGGAAATATACTTGAAAGATGATGTAGTGAAGATCAATGATTTTAATATTTTGAGTTGGTGGAAAGTTTCGTCCAGGAGATACCCAATTGTTGCGAAAATTGCTAGGGATATCCTTTCTATTCCTATTTCTACTGTTGCATCTGAGTCAGCTTTTAGTACAGGTGGTCGAATTCTTGATAGTTATCGAAGTTCTTTATCTCCAAAAATGGTAGAAGCGCTTATTTGCACTCAACAATGGCTACGATCGCCTTCTAAAGAATGCAAGCTTGAAGATATATTAGAGGAAGTCCAAAAAATTGACGAAATTGAAGAAGGTAACTTTATATATTCTAATTGTTATTAAAAATGATTCTCTGCTTTTGAATTTTATTTAGTATTCAATTTGTTTCAGTTGTTTCAGAATACCCCGACTCACCTTTGAGGATTGATTAGCCAGTTGATGTACTTTAATTTCACTTCATGGAACAAAGGTATTAGTTTATTCTTTTGTGATTGTTAATTACCTAATTACTGTTTGCTCTAAATAGCAATAAGAACTAAGGACTAAACATCAACCTAGTTAATATGTTGCTAATCAACTTAATTGATTTGTATTGTCTACTTTGCAGATGCAGGCTATGGTTTTTGGAAAATATATAAAGAAGATCTCACTTCAAAAATGTTTTGTTCCTCTAGGTACAAGGTCCTAGGTTGTAATTAATGATGGTGTAGAATTTAAAGACTTGAATGTAAATAACTCGTATTAACTTTTGATGACAATATTTTGACTATGCAAAAATTGTTTAAGTCACTATGTTACTTTCATGAATTTCTCTAATGTATAATGAATCACTCTTGATTATTGATATTATTTTATGATTTGTCCAAAATAGTAATAGTAGTAATTTTTTGAGAATTTGTGTTCCAAATAGAATGGAGAATTGCCTATTGAACTCATGGGCTTGCAATGCCAAAAGAAACTACTGAATGCTTTTCTAGGATGAAAAATCATGTTAGTGTTCAACGTTTTTTTTAAATCACTGAAAGAACACTAGTTCTTTAGTCTTTATAAAAAAACCCGAGAAAACCCAAATAACCCGAGAAAATCGAATAACCCAAAAAAACCCGAGAAAATCGAATAACCCGAAAAAACCCGAGATTGAAAAAACCCGACTATTATTGGTTTGGTTTGGTTTATATATATTTTAACCCGATACAAATGGTTTGGTTTGATTTTTAAAAAACCCGAACCAACCCGGTAATGTACACCCCTAATTGGGAGAATATGGAATTCGGAGAGGAAATCTATGTTATAAAAGAAGGTGGAACAGGTCTCGAAAAGTAGAAAAAGGGGTTGTATACAAGATGTATATAGCTGTATACACTTATATACAGGTCAAAAACGCAAAAACAAAACAGGGCGGAGGCAAAACACAGGTGTTCGGAAGCAAGAAATACATGAAAGGGGCCAATATACACGTTGATATACACTGATATACATAAGGTGTATACAAAAAGGGGAATTGGGTTAAACCCAAAAATAGCAACGAATTTGGCCCAAGAAAGGCCCAAATTCAATCTCTCCATTTCTCTTAAATTATTTAATTGCGATTATTTATTGTTTGTTGTTTGTTAGCTCTAACTTTAGAACTATTAATTCCCCAAAAGATGAACTATATTCTTTATGTTAGTAAAACCTTTTTATCAACTCATGTACTTTATTTGAAAATCTTTAGTCAAATTTTTTTATTTATTCTTTAATTAACTTAAAATGGTTCCTTGCTTAAATTAACCAATTTGGTTTAAATTATTATTTTAAAAGTATATCAAGTAATTTCTAATTAATCTAGCTTTGTTAAAATTCTATCCACTCGCACTTTAATTCAAATGTTTCATTTTGGATCCTTTTCTCTAAAAAAATAAAAATGAAATAAAATGTGTCATTTACTTGACTATTTTTCTCAAAGTTAACCAAATATTGTAAATTATTATTCTTATGTTAAATAATTTTTTCTAAAAAATAGTCAAAATAGATTTTAGTCAAGTCACAGGTCAATTGCATGTTAGTGGACACTTCAAATACTTAAACCCTTCTCGAAGTGTAAATTGAATTCCGAACCCTCTTTGGTATTTTTAAATGATTTTTTCTGTTTAAATCTTTAAAAATTATAAGTTTTCTTAATTTCTTTAAAAAATTAAGTGGCAACTCTTTTCTAAGTATTTTTCTCAAATTATTTTATACTTAGAACATTTCAAAAAAGTGATTTTGCTAAAGATAGGAAAATTATGGCACAACATGTGTAATTAGCTATATGAAGTTATTAAAATGTTTTGAAAATAGTAACCTTTTTTTTTATCCGATTTGTTACTTACGTGTTTGACTAAATTTGAATTCGCATAAAAAAATCTCATAATACCGTCAGAAAAAGTAATTGTATGATTAAAAAATTAGGATGCGAGATTGAGATACCTTAAATATGGGAGAAGAGGTGTATATATTTAAGAAGGTATAAGAGATTGATAATAGTAAAAATTAGGAGTAGTAAATTGTAAAAAAATCGGACAAAATATTCAATATCAGTTGATTTTCTTTGTTTTTATCTTTGATAAGAGTTTGATTCTCTATAATATTTCCCTAATCGGACAAAATATTCAATATCAGAATGATCCTGATTTTAGAAATATTCAGTCTCATGGTGGGATCATGAAATTCAATGTGTTTGGACTTTGGCAATTTGATGAACATATATTTATGGGTGTGACAGAATTGAAATGGAAACCAGATTTTGCTTAAAGTCTCTTGTAGAAGGAATATGACAAGAACATGTCTACATAAACATAAATTTAGCCATGGTTGGCTATGTTTTAATGTAAATTTTTAAAAAGTTATTTTTAAAATGAAAATAATATTTAAAAGTTGGTACAACTCTGTTTGGCCATGAATAAAATTTGGAGGTATCTTTAACTTTTTGATGAGTATTTAGAATGAAATACATTTTTATTCTTTTCAAATACTTAAAACTTTTAGGTTTAAAATTTAACTCAGTGAAAAGTTTTCATGATTAAACACTGCCGCAAAAGAGATTATCCCAGAGAGAAGTGAAAGCGTTAATCAAAATATTATTTTTTACCTCCTTATCTTAACTGATAAAATAACACAGAAAATATGTGATAACATAATCAATGGAGGCAGGATTAATTTATAAAAATTAAAACTTCATTTGATTTGATGCATCATAAGTAATCAGTTTAATAGATAAGATTTGTTCTTCATACTATTAATTATGAGTTCAATATTAATTGAATCACACATAAAATAATAAAAAAGTCTTAACAAATACTCACTAGTTGCTCCATCTCATTGTAACGATTCATAGATCCTGATGGATATTCACACTTTGGTATTATGTTAGTACATATATAAATTAACTATGATTAAATGATAAAAAAATTATATGATCACTAGGTGTGTGCAAATTTATTTATTTTTCTCTATGAAGTTGTATTATTACAAAGTTAAGTAACGCATAACTAGGAAATGTACTAATTTTCGCGATAAATTTGAAAATGGTGAGTTAATTAACTAGTGGTATTAATTTATAAGTTTAAATCATTCATTATATGAATTTCTCCAAATTATAATCTTATTCAAAGATCTAGTAAACATACATTTAGTACAAGCACTACAAATACTTAGTAGTATTACAAAGAAAAATATATAAACATACCTAATTAGTAAGTCTCAAATACTTGTTGCCTTGTTGGCTCTATAAGGTTTGAAGTGAGGTGTTTATCATTCGAGCAACTCTCTCTTGTCGTTAATATGCAACTAGATAAATAGTCAAGCCTTTTTTGGTATCACTTTCAAAGAGTCGCGTTTTCTTGCTGTTACTCCCATGCTTTCATCCATATTGATAGATGTAGGAGAGATACCATCAGGAAGCTCCCATTCAAATTCATGAAGCAACGATCCGAGAGTGAAATGCATCATTCGATGGCCTAAAGGCAAGCCAACACACATTCTTCGTCCAGCACCAAATGGAATTAGCTCATAATGCTGACCCTTCACGTCTATTTTTGAGCCAAGAAACCTCTCAGGCTTGAAACTCATTGGGTCGTCCCAACATTCAGGATCTCTTCCAATTGCCCAGGCATTTACGAGGACTTGAGTGCCTTTCAATATGTCGTACCCCATGAACTTAGTGTCTTGAATTGTCTCTCTTGGGATCAAGAAAGGCAGAGGAGGATGTAAACGAAGTGATTCTTTGATTACAGCTTGCATATAAGGAAGATTTTCGATATCACTTTCTTCAAACTTGTTGTTTAATCCTACTACTTTTGATATCTCTGTTTTCACTTTGGACATTGCTTCTGGATGACGCAAAAGCTCTGTTAGTGCCCATTCTACACTGCTGCTCGTCGTCTCTGAACCAGCTAAAAACATTTCCTGTTGTTTCATACATATGCAACACGAGTTTAAGTTTTATATACTGTCAGTATAGACAATTTCAAGTTTCGAACAGATATAGTCAACCGCTTTGACACTAGTTCACAAATATGGGACAAGTGTATCTATGAAAATTTCGAATAATATAATAGCAAAATTTTGAGATCTATAAAACTTACCACTATTAGTACTTTGATCTCATGTTCTGATAATTTAGCTGGTTCATCTTTTCCAGTGCCTTCGAATTCAAGCAACACATCCAAGAAATCTTTCCTCTTCTCCATACCTTTCTTTCGTTCTTCCTCGCGTTCTTTGAGTAACATAGACATGATCTCCATCGCCTTCCCCATGTCTCGTGTCATCTTCTTCCTCAATTTTTGTAAATCGAACTTTCTAAGAAACGGAAATATATCAGAAACATTAGCAATACCTGACCACTCCATGATTCCCTTCATAGCATTGAAGAAATCCGAGGCCTCCTCGGATTCTGGATCAGCCAAGTCTTTCGATAGAACCAAATTCCCTAGCATATTAAACGATGCTAGGAATACAAAACGCGTTACCTCAATTCCACTTCCTTTTTCAGCAGAATTCACTGCTTTTTCTATCCATTTTAACATATTATCCACACATTTTCGCCTTACTGGTACTGTTTCATTGATTTTTTTGTGTACAAACATTTCCACAGTACATATCCGCCTTTGGAATCGCCAAAAGGAGCCATATCGGCCTATAGCCAGAGACCCTTGATAGTAATTATGTGCCTGATTTACATCGACCATTGGTCGATCTGCGAAGGAAGTATCATGGTTCTTAAATAATTCTGCAGCAGCATGAGCTGTTTGAACAACCATAATGTTTGTTGAGGGGCCAAGTTTTAACCCCAAAACAGGGCCATATTTCTGTTGTAGAACTGACATTTTTTTGTAAGGCTCTTTTCCTAGTTCAAACATGTTACCAAAAATTGGTAATCCAGGTGGTCCTGGAGGTAATTTGTAAGAACATTTAGTACTCTTTTTCTGAGAAAAAAATAGGATGAAAACTGGTAACAAGATGATTGCAGAGAAAAACAGATAGCTCCATTCCCATTCCATTTTATTTTTTTTGGTTGACTTTACTGGTTTGCTGTAAATTGTGTAATGATAAGCTCTTATTTATAATTATTTATTTTTGAAACATGGTCTGATAGATAAAGTTCTATTAAATGATTTCACCTATCTCATAACCCTTTTAACTTGGAATTGTTTATTCAATGGATCCTGAATTTTATATTGTGTCGGCTCAGCCTACACAGATTTTGAAATTTAACGAGTCAAGTGGGACTAACCCCTCATTTAAAGGACCCTTAAAACAGCCAACCGAACCCTCTAAGTGGGTTGCAGTCTTGCAGTCCCAATGGAACTGACTTATATGGACAACTCTAGTAATTTGATAACCTTTACCCCGAATGAGTGGGAACTAATATAGCAGAATAGTCGAATATAAGGAGTAATTAGGAAAATGAATGTCAAGAAAATGACAAAAGTCTCACATTAATGTTAATGAGATGGGTGTACTCTGTATAAGTCTTGGGCAATACTCCCTTGAGCTCTCTTTTGGGGGTTGAGTTAGGCATAATACCTAATTTCACATGATATTAGAGCAAGATAAAAGTTCAAAAGACTCGTTCACGCACCAGATGCTAAGCACTTGTCATGAAGTGGGGTGTTAAAGAATGACAATATTCAATGACAATTGACAAATGTGTATTGAATATAATAGATAAAAGTTCAAATATTGGCATCATGTCCACCTCTCTAGCCATATGCTCCTTCCGTTCGAATTTACTTGTCAAATAGGGGTTCTACTTTTACTTGTTATTTTTGACGAATTGAGAAATAATTTTGTTTTTCTATTATACTCTCAAATTATTAACATAAGATAAAATAGTAAACTTATTATTTTAATTATTATTTTATTAATAGATGTAGTAAATTCGAACCGAACGAGTGTCATGTCTATGTCAACTAGATATTGACTTTTGATTTTTCTTTTTAAATTAAACTTGTGGCCCATTTGGCTTGTATTATTAGGGAGTTAGGTTGGGATTAACATTTTTAATGACTCAATAATATCAAGTCAATGATAAATTATGTCCACTAAATGATAAACAATATTTTTTTGTTTGTGACAAAATAATTGAGAGTACTAAGTAAAATAATAATTAATAAAATGTTGAAAAAATTGCTATCCAGTTGGCCCGTTGAAATTGATATGATAGAAGTTAAACCATAAAATTTCTTCAGTTCGAATCCATTTTTACCGTACTTGATATACCTTTTTTTCTTTTTTTTTTTCCCACCCGGTGTCCGGAGTCCACATTGGAACTCCGACTAAATTCGAATTGCGCTCTGCAGGGCCCATTCGAGGGTGACGCTCCGAGCTCGAACCCGAGACCTCTAGTTAAGGGTGAAGCACTCCCACTAGTGCACTACAATCCATGTTGGTGACATACCTTCTTTCGTTTCATATTTATATGACGTAATTTAATTTATTATCAAATTAAACAAAAGTAAAGAATGTTAAAAATTTATGGCCTTAAAGAATATATAAGATTTGTGTAGCTATTAAAGCTTCTTATTAAAGTTAAACAAAGAAAATAAAATAAAATTATTTTAAATAGAAAATATTTCATCTTTTTTTAAATGAACGAATAATAATAACTTTCGAGGGTAAAAAAGAGAAAAATAAGTTGATCGGCAAGGTCAAACAGTGTCTCTTTAATGTAAATTACGTGATTAAAACATGCTCAAGTATAATTAATTACTACGTCAAAGATAAGAACTCTTTTAAATAATTATATTCGCGTGTTATTGGCAAACTCAATAATTTATTTCCACTTTATGCATGCAGTTCCTTTTTTAAGTAAAGAAATTGTTAGAATTAAATTTTTTAACTCATGTTACATATGGATTCCCATGGACTTATTAGTACAGTTAATTGTTAACTTAAAAGCTATGGAGTAGTATCTATTATTGTTCAATTTTATAGGAGTATTACTTAATTCATATTGATTAGACTTATATATAATTTTTTAAAACGTACTTAGAAGTGTATTTTGTTAAATTATTTTTTCATGTCTTAGAATTTTAAATTTGACTATTATTATGTTATTCCCTCTTTTTCTTTTTACTTGACAAACTTCGACTTAAAATATCTATTAAGAAAATATTGATTGCTATAGAGAATTTACAATTTTATCCCTATTAATTGATAGGATTTCAAATATCTCTAATCATTATATTTTTCATAACATTACTTAATGTTAATAAATTAAAAATATAATAGGTAAAAATGTTATCATTTCTTAATTTGTAAAAAATGATAAAGTAAAATAAGATAAGTAAAAAAAAATTAGACAAGAGGAAGTATATAGTTATTTAATATTAAGGATAATATGAGATACGTCTTCCTTGGGATTTGCCCATGTGGTCGGTCCATAATAATATATTGTGTTTTGGACAATTTTCAATCAGTATTATTTATGGGTGTGTGTGACACAATTAAAAGGGTTGACAAAGTCAATGTTTTCGTATAGATTATAGAGCTGTTAAAATAGGCTTAGGTCATAGGATTGGTTCAATCGAATTTGTTATTGAAATAGGTTTGGGATTTGATTTTTCTAGTCTCTTTAAAAGTAGGGTTTATAAGTCTGACTCATATAAATATTTGGCTCTTGAGGTTTGATCGGGGCTGGGCATGGCTTAATTTATGGGTCAAAACTATTTACTTAAAGATAATTCATAAAAATCTCACTAGTATATGAGCTAATTACTTAGATGCACGTTATGTTGTAATATTACAAATTTTATCCAATTTTGGTGTGTCCAGATATATGGACTTAAAATTAGGTGTAATTTGTTATAGATACATTCTATCCAAAATGGATTCGTATGTATCTAGGATACATAGACAAATCTCGTGTCCTCGCTTCCCTTCCATTTCACTCACCACTCTCTTATCTCGCTAGCGTATCTAGGATGCATCACACCAGATATAATGATACATGTATCTCATGTATCTAGTATCCTACATACATGCTAAGCACTAGATTTTTTGCTAGTACTATTATTGAAACAACACCATTATTCGCCATATTTGGTTTGAAAATCTTCTTATTTTCTTGATGTTATATAATTCTAAGTTTGAAAAGAAAAAAAAGTCTAGCCCACCCAGCCCGCGGCCCTTCTAAAGTTTGGTTGGGTTGAGCATTTTCAGGCCCTTCAAATGGAGGGTCAGCCCGTCCTAGCCCATCAAATTCAAGGCCCTTGAGGCTTGGGCCGGGTGGGGCGTAGCTATAGCCATCCCAGGGTATCCAACTGGCCACACTCCATCGGAAAATTATGTTATATATATATATATATGTCAAATTCTACATTTAAAGAATATATTTTTAAAGTTGGATACCCTTGACAAAGTTATGCCTTTGGCGTAGTGGTAATGTGTGTCCATTTGAATGAAGAAATTTTGGATTTAAACCCCAAATAACTTAATATTTTTTTGTTTTATTCTGAGAGTCACACATCATTATTCTTGGACACTCATAATAAAACTATTTTCATATATGATGTGACACAAGCTTTGAATTATTTTTTTTGGTTTTCCACCCGATGTCCGGTACTCACATTGGAGCTTGACTAAATTCGAATTGGCGCCGGAAAGTCCCACATTGGGGGGTAAAATGCTCCCTAACAAAGGCGACTCCGTACCCAAAGGGGCTCGAACCCGAGACCTCTTGGTTAAGGATGAATGAATTCTTATCACTCCACCACAACCCTTGTTAGTGACAGAAGCTTTGAATTAATTTGAAGGTTATTTTTTTTTTAGCTCTTGAAGTTGTAATATAATTCGTTTTTGGCTTTTGAATAATTAAATACAGTATAATCTTTCGTTTTGATTAATTTATCCTATATTTTTATTTTTTGTATATAGAGTTTATAATCACAAAATAAAAAAAAAATTCTTGTCTTAAATCAAATAAAAAAAAACAAAGTAAAATGGAGGGAGTATCATTTATTATTAAAATATTGTCCAAAAAGGATTAGCCCGCGAAAGTTTCACTCAAACCCGACCCACCCTTTTCCCTCTTCTTTCTCCTTTTTGCAATTCATAAGTAATTTTCCCCTTCTTCTTCTCATAAGAGGAAAATTGGGGAAATGGCGATGGAGATTTATCGAGCCCTAAGTTATGGCCTATCACCGCTGATTCACTTTCGCCTGCGGTGGCGCTAATTGCTCCTCCTCGAACATCCTCTACGCTGGCGGCGAACTTCTACGATCAGTATGTATATGAGAATTAGTGCGTCATATTTGGAATCTGCAGTTAATCTGCCCAATTTGTTGATCGGTATATTTATCACTGCTTCTTTTTTCATCCTAATATGAGATTTGTTTGCTGTAATGTGGAATTAGGTGAAGGAATATGCGCGATTCCTCTAATTAAATGCTGCGTAGAAAAGAGGAAACTATCACACCAGCACTGCGAGTCTCAATTTTGAATCTAAAGACTATTTCTGTTTACATTATATTTTATTTTGATCCTTCGTTATTTCGCTAAGTTTTTGGTGATAAACAAATTTTGTGATGTGATAATGGTCTAACAGATCAATATTTTGCATTAATTGTTCTAGTTTTTGTATGGTTTCTCATCTGACAGTGACAATGATCTTCTCTATATAAATACACAAGAGTAGTTTAGTTTTCTTCTGCATAAAATGGAAGTTATTGTGGGGAGGTTTAGAGAGGGTGTGCTTTTGGATTTATGCAAGTTTTACTTACTCTCTTTACTTTTGCTGTTGTTACGGTTCCTTTTTCCTCCATTCTATGCAATGCTTTTTTCTAGTATTTGTTTTGACTTCCTTTCTTCTATATGTTCTTTGATATGCAGTGCCTGAGTTGGGGTCTTTCGGAAATAATTTCTCTACTTCCATGAGGTAGGGGTATATTGTTGTTCTTACTATCTTTACTAGCTAGAACACCATTATTACCCAAAAAAGAAAACCTAGAAGATCATTGTCTACTATGATATTTCCATTTCCTCTTCCTAATCAAGATTTATGTAG